CCACACACATGAAATCAGAAAATCTGAAACCAGGGTTTGCACTGACTCCTGAGTAGAAGCCAAGTCATACAAGTCACTCTACCTTTATACTTCCTTCTTAAGGACCCTCCTAAGGTCACCTGAGTATTACCTAGTATAGATAATACATTCAAATACTCTGTATTCTTCAGAAGGAACATTCTGTATAAATATATAAAAAGATTATATAGTTACTTTTAGTTAAAAAACAATCTGCTGATACAAGTAAATACAATAACTGTAACATTCTCATCTCAAGCCATGGGGTCACCGGTGTTCATTTTATTATTGTTTTATATCTCAATACACATTAACTATATTTTCTTGTATGCATCAGATGGTACATAAGAACTTAATTAAAAAAAAATTAACAGAATAACAATTAGTTTAGATGGTCATTCGTTACATTTAAAAAGAGAATACAAGAAAACTTAGCATTATCATGCCAGCAGTACATATTTATTATTCATAAATGGTCAAAAGACTTACAAGGCCCATTACTAGTAGTATAACACACATATGAAACATCATTTGTGACCGTAAGTGAAAAGGACAGTTTCATATTTTAAAAAATGCACATACATACACACATTCTCCCTTTCTCTCAAGTGTCCACCATATACTGCTACAACAAGCGGCAAGAGTTCCCATATACATAACATGTTGATATATCTCAAGCATAAAAATTGTACTTAAGTTGCAAAAATAAAGTTTCTTTCTTCAAACATTTTGATCTCAGCTCAAGCAAAGCAAGTAAGGAACATCGATGATTTTCGTACTATTTAACACACTTTAAAACATAAAATGATCAACAATTGCAGAAGTCCTGAAAATGCAGAGGTTATAGGAATGAATAATGCATTTCATTCCCAAGCCCCCACCCACCCAAAAGTCTAGAGCACATTTCATCCTGGCTCTCAAATATTTAAGAATGATCTACTATACTGAAACAGAGCCAGAACAAACAAAATGATAAAAAAAAGGCATTACTTCAAACTGACCTTAGTTTCTTTACACAATTTCACTAGTGCAAGAGCATCATTTACCTGAAAGATCATGAGTCACAATTAAAGAGCACTCATACAAAACTATTTCCTTTTTTTCGTTAAAAAGTGCCACGTACTGTACTTATCATTAAAAAAAATCATAACAAAAAAACAAAAAGGTGACACATACACTAATGAAAGACTGTTTGTCTCCATCTCTTATCAATGAGGAAAGGCCAGAGTGATTCTTTGATTCCAATTCGAAATGGTGTTCGCTGACCAATGCCTAAGGTCTCTAATTTGGAGCAGTCAAGCTGAGAATTTCTTGGACGTTGTGCTCCTAAGACAGGACTGTCAGTTATCTTTAAAGAAAAATAAAAACAAAAAAATCAAAAATAAATGAAAAGCTACATGTTGAAGTTTTTTATTCTCTATTTCACTCTGCCCTTAGTCTAAGAAATCTGATTTGTCCCATGGAAAACTACAGAAAAAGTCTGCCACAATCAAAACATTTTTTCTATAAACTTCACCAATACTCATGGGCTTCTTTATACATAATAATTGTGTAGAGAAATGTATCAATATAAACTGCCAATATACAAGCAAAGTTTACTTTGATTGCTACAAGAAAATGAAGTTGCCAATACTCCCAAAGCAAAGCAATAAGAAAATGTTATCAGTAATAAACATGACGGTGATGGTTCCGTTCTGGACTTTCGAAAAATGAGGTGGTTTTAAATGACATGTACTTACAGGTCTTAAGTGACTGCTGGGGAGATTGAAGGCATCTGCAATTGCACATGCCATTTCATACTTTGTCATCTGTTCGTTGCCAGACCAATGAAAAGTTCCTTTAATTGATGGATCCTAAGAAGGACACAATTCAAAATAGTTTCAACTTTCTGAGTTGAATGGTAGGTTTGACAAGAAAGGTAATTTAAAATGTCCGTAAATTAAAATGTGTCTCTCCTTTCTGGAATGTTCTTTACAAGGTGTGTAAAAGTCAAATCCCTATGTTTCTCAGCTCAACATGAAAAGCAATTTCTAGAATTTAGCCTTGAGAATTTTTTTAAATAAATATTTTAAAAATATTAATATAATAAAAATATTAGTGGGAATCCTAAAAATGATTAGATTTTTATGGAAACACAGCCCAATTTAATGAGTATTCCTAATTATCATAAGCAGCTAAAAACAAAGCTTAACGGAACCATTTTTCAGGATGAGCTAGTCACGACATCCTCTAATATTGTCATAGTACGTATTTAAGATGTTTCATGTATTAAAAAATTAGTCATGCTATTCTTAATATTCCAAAATAGATCAGTCTTTAATCTTTCTTTTTACAGATATTCTATTTAGCTCCAACTTTTTCTAATGTTTAAAATTAAATCCTATTCCAAAAAGGAAAAAAATACACATTATTCTTAAAATGGCCAAATAATATATATTCCTATGTAGAGTGTTCTTTGACATTAAATAGATCTTAAACAGAGTAACTTCTTAAAAGACATGAGATTACTCTGTTACCCAAAGAAAAAATATAAGTTTTCAATCATCTTGCAATAAAAGAATGACAGATGGAGTCTGTAGTATTTGAAAAATAAATGCGAACACAAGAATATGATATTTTTATTATTCATAAATACAGCCTATCTGTGAACTGGTTTTGTCTGGTCTCCTTGTAGTTTTATAAAAAGTACTTTAACTTTCACTCATTATCAGGATTTTTACTATGATGGAAATTAGGAAATCTTCCTTCTAAAGAGTCTCACCAGCATTCTCTTCTCTGCTAACTGACGACACACAGTGGCTACGTCTTTGACATGTGTGGGGAATCTCTGCTGCCAGTGGTCCATGTTTGCCGACTTGTTGCTGAACTGTACTTTATCAAACATAACAGTCACAGCACTTTCTTCAAGCTTTTCAACTTCTCCATACAGAACAGGAATTCTCAAAACAGCAGCTCCTAGAGATGAAGAAAGCAGATAGTATTTTAAAGCTTACTTGTTCTTCAGTAACTATGTATGGTGCCAGGTGGGTACTAGATTTACTTGGAGGATCATCTCTTAAGTTATAAAAATGTCTAACCACCATGCTGTGCACCTAAAACTAATACACTGAATGTCAACTCTAATTGGAAAAAAAAAAGTGGTTCTTAAGTTTTGATGTAAGATGAAAGTATGTGGATTTAAACAATGTAATAGTAGGAAATTTGCAATATACCAAAATGACACAGCTCACCTATAATAATGCCTATTTAACCAATGTGATCCTGAATGGTTTTAAATATTCTCATTTGGGGTATTTTAATATAGAATTTCTTAATGATTACAATTATTATAATTAAAACTGATCATGACAACAAGCAATGATAGATTCTTGATTGGATCCTAGAGAATAAAATGTAATAAAAAAAATCATTGGTACAATTGGGAAAATTCCTATATAGACTATATATTATAGTAATATTAAATTCCCTGAGTATGACAACTGCACTGTACTTATGAAAAGAACATCCTTGTGATAAGATACACAGCAAAGAATTTTGGGGTTAAATTCCACTAACTCATTAATGAGTTCAGAAAAAAAAAATCACATGTTCAAAGACATGTAGCAATACATTAACTGGTGACTCTACATAAAGGTTATGTGAGTATTCACCATATAATACTTGAAACCATTGATTAGAGAATTATGAGGTATTTAGATTTTATGCTGGTCCCTACTAAGAGGTTACAGCAAACTCTGGACAAATCAAACTTTTTAAAAATATTAACTTATTGGACAACTGTGTGTGTGTGTGTTATGTGTGTATATTCAAGGATAATTTTTGCAAGATAATTTATTATACAAAAAAAAAGAAAACAAAATGTCGATTAGTATGGTATCAATACTAGAGGATGCTTCTCAAGGACATAGTACAGTCTTAGGCAGTAGTTTTAAGGCAGGATATCACTAAATCAAGTACTATGCAGCCACATAGGAAAAAGATAACCAAGAGATGGCTCCATAAGTACTGAAATGCAAGTATGTGGGTGGGGGTAATAGATTACAAAACAATACACATACATTTTTAAAAAATCAGAAGTAGTGCTTCCATATAGAACCACATTTGGTGGTTTTCTCTCTGAGGCAGCAATATAAGGAAACTTACTCTTTACAATTTTAAAAATTTTTAAATTTTTTTTCAAGCAGAGAATGCCTTTTACAATCAATACGTGTGTGTGTGTGTGTGTGTGTGTGTGTGTGTGTGTGTGTGTGTGTACATATATGA